GGTTGATGAGATGAAGAGAACTCTTGTTGAATGGTAAACCTTGTCAATATGGTAACTCTTACCAAAATGTACTGTTATATTTGTGGAGTTTTTATTGTGTTGTTGTTGCTGCTACAATAGTTTAAAACAATCAACATATTTATGGTTTTGCAAATTCAAAAGATAAGGTGGTTTGAGTAGTTCACCTAATTTCCTTCACCCTACCCAACAGCTGGAGGCTATGGAGCACTGAAACGGAGACCGGGGATGGAGACGAAACGAAGTGGACACGCTGAAACGGCTATTTTGAAAAAATTAAGAGACAAAATGCCGGGAAAATGCCACACACACACATATATACACACACTAGCATTTTAAACCGTGCAAGCTCTATTCCTTTAACTTTGAACTCTTGGGATGTTGGGAGAAAAATATTTTTACAAAAAAATTCCATCAAAATTTTTATACTCTACTTGATTACATAAGTTATACTTCCTTCGTTCCATTTTATAATGTCTGTTTCGGTTTACGATGTTTGACTGAAGTTATTTTTAAATCATTTTTTATGACAAATGGTATAGAGTTAAAAAATAAAAATTACATATCAAAATACTACATCAAAAGATCTACAAAACTAGTAGTAATAACTCAAATTGCTAACAAAAATAGAGAAAGAAAGTGAACAGGTATTATAATTTCTAGAAGAGTGTTGATAAAAACGTAGATTGGGAAGATTATTTCTGGACGAAAAAAAAAGATAGAGTGGGAAGATTATTTTCGGACGGAGGGAGTAGTTTTTAATTTTATACCATTTTTCATATAAAATAATTAGAAAAAAATTTCAATCAAATATTATAAACTGAAACAGACACTTTAAATTGGGACGGAGGAAGTAGTTAATAAAAATGCATATGCATAAAATTTATGCATAAATGTTTCTTTTTTGGGAACTAATAAATTAAAATTAATGGTAGATAGTTTTAAAAATTATATACTCCGTAAATGTTTTTAATCAACACTCCGTAAAGTTTATACAAAATAGTAACGTAATTATGCATATTTAAATGGTTTCATGGTAGAAAACAAATAATTTTATAAAGATTTGATAAAAATAATGTTTGATCACTTCGATGGGCTACAAGGAATGTATTTTTAAGAGAGCTTGACTCCATTAAAAGCATTACAAGAGAGCTTTACATAAAACATGAAAAGAGAGCTTGACTCCATTGATGATGAGTATAAACTATAGGAGGCTAGGAAAGGAGGAAGATGATGGAGAGAGTAATAATTTAGTGTATATGCAAGTGTTTTTTTATGTAAAATTACCCAAAATAATCCCAACTTTAACCGATCTTTCAAAAATAATTTCACATTTCACTGTAATGCATAATAATCCTAACTTTACTGAAATTTGCGAGTTTTGAGACGTCGTTAAGTTTCTAACGAAGGGTTAACGAAAATCCCCGTTTTAGGCAACAAAATGAAAGTTGCGATTATTTGTGATTAATTTTTATGTTTTTATTTTTTAAAATTTTTCATTTAAATTTTTTAAATTACTTTCTACCTCCATCATCATTTCTTTTTCCTTTTTTAAAGATTAGTCTTAGTTTAAAAAATAAAAATAATAGATATAAAAAATGAAAAAATTAGAAATATAACTAAAATGATACAAAAATAATAAAATAAATAAGGTATTCAATGGAAACTAACTTGGAATTGATAAAAGTAAAATAAAAATATACGGATGGATTTTAATATTTTATGCATTATACAAAGTATTAACATAACACTTCTTATTTTTTAGAAAAAATTATCTACAATAATTCCAACTTTACCGGACGGCTTGTTCTTTTAAAAAATAAGTGGTACATTAAGACTCTGTATAATGTGTAAAATGTTAAAACCCACCACTCTGTATATATTTATTTTATTTCTTACCAGTTTCTGTTTAATTTCTATTGATTACATTATTTATTTGATTAATTTTGTATGGTTTTAGTTCTTATTTTCATTATTTTTTATACCTTTTTTTTCTAAGGTAAGAATAATCTTTAAAAAATAAAAAGAAATGATGATGGAGGTTGAAAGTAATTCAAAAATTTTAAATAAAAAATTTAAAAAAAATTAAAAAACAAAAATTCATAAAAAATAATCTCAACTTTCATTTTGTTGCCTAAAACGGGTATTTCTATTAACCCTCTGTTAGAAACTTAATGACGACCCAAAACTTGCAAATTTCAATAAAGTCTGGATTATTATGTATCACATTGAAAGGTGAGATTATTTTTGAAAGACCGAATAAAGTTGAGATTATTTTGAGTAATTTTTCCTTTTTTTATTTCTTTCACATTGAGGGGTGTAAGGGGTATTACTCCGTATATAGGAGAGTAGGACTGTAAGAGACAATTTTAGGGTTTTGGTGTGAGAGTGTGTGAATTGGGCCTTTGGCCCAACATTAGTATGATGTCTTCTGAATATGTTGATGAAGAAGTTTTATGGGAGCGTATTCAATCAAGAGTTTGTAGGATTTTTTAAGATTTTCAAAATCAGGAGGTATTCAATCTGGATTTTCAAAAGTCTTTTAAAATTTTGAAATATTCAATCTAGATTTTCTAAAGTCTTTTAAAATAATGAGGTATTTAATAAAAGAAAACATTTTAAATAGGAGTAAAACTTATGACATATCCTATAAAAGGATTTCAAACTTAAACTTCTCTAAATGGGAGTAATTAATTAAGTATTAAATAAATCATCATAAATAGTATTAAACCTCTAATTGATGCCATCTCTCTATGCTCCCTTTCCTCAAGGCCATCCCACCATGCCTCCCTCCTCTCTCCCTTCTCTCTCATTTTTAGCATCACTCTCGCCATTTTGAAGTGTTGCCTCTTTCCGTCAAATCCACCCTAAGTCCAATTCATCATCGCCGCCCCACTTCTTGCAGTGCCGCCACACGAGCTTTCCCCTTTGCAGATCTGTCACAAAGCATCCATTGTAGATCCGTCGCAAAGCGCCGCCTCTATCTCTCCCCCCATGCACATCTATCACACCGCCTATATCCATCAGAGAGCTGCAATTACGGGCGCAATTTTTGATTTTTAATTAGCTTTCAAATACTCTATAATTAAGACTACATCGTAGAAGTAAGAAATACTTTCAACTAATTGCATTCATCTTTTTTTCTCTGAAAAATTGCATTTTCATTATACATTGATTTTGGATTGGTTTTTTCTTTTCATTTTGTATTTGATTGTTTTTCTTTTAATTTAATTTTTTTGTTTGATTGTTTTCTATTAGTTGTGTTTAAATTTTGCTCTTAATGTAAGCAAAATTTGGTAACAGTGATAATCAACTTGACATTGTATGTTAGCAATCTATGAATTGATTTATTGATTTATTGATTTAAGTGGATTTTTGGACAAGTTCCAAAAATCAACTTGACATTGGAGTAAACCCATTACAACTCATGGATTTAAGTTGGATTTTTGGAGTATAAAAACTCTTTAAAAATCTGTAAGGGTTCGGGTATGAACTTGTCCAAAAATCCACTTAAATCAATAAAAAAAGAGTCAAGTCAAGTCTCTATGAAAGTTTATATAAATCAATAGAAAAAGTTAGCCAAATTCTCGCAAGGAATCTATGAATTTTCAAAATCTGCGAACTTTTTAAAATCTAAAAAATCTTTCAAAATCTTAATTTAATACACCCCTCTCCCTCTTAGTGATACTAAATCTTTAAAAAGTCAGGTAAAATAAGGTAACAATTAAATTTAAAGAATGATGTGTAAAAGGTTGAATAAATTGATTTCATGTAGTAAATATTTTTTCAGATACTTTAACTAGATGAACAATTAAATTGACTAATTAATTTGACAAGTTAGAAATTTTGTCTCAACTACTCCTTTAATATAACATTATCTTTAGCCATTATTAATGTGATAATATTGGTTGAATAAGTCATTTTTCACATTCAGAGACAAATGGAAAGAATAATTTGTTAAAGACTAATTAATAAACTGGGTGGATAAATTAATTAGAACATTTATTATTCAAATATTATTATTTTTGTTACATACCAACCGCAATGGCTAGTGTTATACGGAGTATAATACTCCCCGCTCCTAAAAACCTTCTATTTTTATTTTTTGGTCAAGCAGTGGCACATATTAACTATAGATTGTGACAGAAGTATATTCAATTATAACATAAATTCAATACAATTGAATTCATCTTTGAACATAGTTTTGATATATCAAATTTTTATGCTCTCTCCGGTCCTAAAAATCTTTCTTGTTTTAACTTTTTTTTGTCAAAAAGTGATACTATTTGACCATAAATTAAACATAATCTGAATAAATAAAGTATATATCAAAACTATATCCTAAGATGAACCTAATTATATTGAATTTATATTATAATTAAATATATTTTACCCATAATTTATTGTCAAAATGTCTCTTTGACCAAAAAATTAAAACAAAAAAAAGGAGTTGAGGAAGTATCATTTATTTATTTAAATTATGTTCAATTTGCTGTTAAAGAGTAATACTATTTGACCCAAAAAAAATCAAAAAATGAAAGATTTTTAAAACCAGAGATGGTATACTACTATATTCTACATTTCTACTTCATTGGATTTGTAAAATGTATTGCCGATTTTATTAATTGTCATAATGATGGCTTCTTCTTCTTCTCTCCTTCCCTCATCCTTCTCCCTCTCTCTCCTTTCTCTCTTTGTTTGGGAAGGTCCCCCACCCACATCCAGCTTGCGTGGCCGGCGGTGGTTTGTTGGCCAGTCAGAAAGACGGCAACCACACTAATTGGCCAAAGAACCTCTTTGTATTTGTATTGCCATGTAATTTCAATATCAAGCAAGCAAGGATTCACACTTAAAACTGAAAAGTGGGGACTCTCTCCCCATCTTTAATTAACTGAACTAGTCCTCATAACAGATACATTTCAGCCAAAAACAAAAAAACCACACACACACACACACACACAAACACAAAGAAGATCTTTATGACCATTACATGACCATTATTTTATACCATTTCCTAACAAGTGAAGGCGATGCAACATGCAAATTCAGCAAGAACCAGATACCCGAAAGAAAAGAAATCACCTGAGCTTCTCCCTTCCAGAGCCCCTTCTTGCTGCCTCCTGAACCTTCTCAATATACCCTTCGATTGGAGGGGTCAAAGTGGCCATAAACCTGTTCATGGGGAATGGAGTCAAGTCTGGAACCAAGGCAGCAGCTTTCAGATTCTCAGGCAATGCCTCAATGGCCTCTTTCTTCAGCCTCAACAGTGTTGACTCAGCAGCCTGCCTTTCCCTGTGCTTCCTCATCAATACCCTGCTGTACTCCTTTGCCAGCATCCGCCCATCCTCAACCGTTAGCTCATACTTTGGGATCTTCTCTGCGTCAACTAAACCCAAAGAGATCAAGTCCAACCCCGGAGTCCCAATCATCCATGGAGACTGGAACTCCTTCCCCATCTTCTTCAGCTTCTTCTTCTCCTCTTCTCGGGCTTTGGATATCAGGCCCATCTTCTCCCTCTCGGACTCTCGGGCCATCTCTTTGGGCTTCAAGAAACGAAGCGGCGAAGTGGAGCCCAAGCATTCCTCGAGCATTTCATCGAACTCGCTTTTTCTTCTAGGAGCTTCTTTTGTTGTGGTTTCGGAGCCCTTTTTGGTAGATACTTTGGTTCTCTTCAAGGGCTGCCCTGCCTTCAATTTTCCCTTGCCCTTTGCTGTTCTGCTCACTGAGCATCGCTGCAGTAGTTGGTGGCTCAGAGCTTTGAGAGAGGTCGGGGTTGAGGTGTTCAGATGGTTGATTTGGGCAATTCTTCGGATCATCTTGTTAGGGTCGGCCACCCAAAACCTTACCCAAGATTTTAAAAACATTAACTACACATTTTATCTTTTATCATTCTCGGGTAAATAAAAGAACCAGTAAATAAGAAACATTGCAAGCACCATATGTTTCATTTATCTACATGTCTAACCTACTCCGTAAAATGCAGTCACTTTGCAAAATTTGGTAGGCTAAGAAGCACCCATGTAAATTTCTAAAGACTTCCATGTTTTTTTTTGTTTTGCAAATACTTCTAGTCATAGCAATTCCAATAAAGTACTGCATCCGGTCTAATTTTTGAGTAATAATAGGGGGACATGATCCTTAATACTTCGTATGTCACTTTATCAATGCAGATTATAAAAAAACTCTTCCATAATCATCCCTTCTTGAGACAACAATATGTTCCTCCATAATATATGTTTTGAGAATGCATAGGATTAGATTCCCTGGATCAAAAAACCTTTCAAGAAAGCAGTAAAAAAGAGCTTGTGATTCCGGATATAAGAAATCAAACCTTTTGAAATTTATTCCCAGCAAAAATAATAAAGGTGCAGAATCTCACTATGTCACTACACAAATGATAAGGGGTATGTGTTTTATGCATTAAAAGCATTTAAATGCCAAAGTACAAAATATGAAGGAATGTGTTTATTCAATATAAAAATGCACCTATAACAGGCAATTGGAGTAAGGTAAAATTAGAAAAATCTAATAGCTATATCTCGCAGATGAAGTGAAATCTATATATCTTCTACAGAGTAATAGTGTATGTAATAATGTAATTTGCCTTGCCAATTTTCTTGCCAGCATTGACCCAAAAATGGTGACAAAGATAAAGCTGCTCTCCAGAAAATAAATATCCATGCTCATTGCTGGAGCATCTATCAATTTTTTATAATTTGTTTTAGCATTTGTGTTGTTCCGAATAACCAAAATCAATGCTTCTTAAAATCCATCGTCACCCAAACAATGGAAGGGTGACAACAGCTCGTGCACACCCTCTAGAAATTCAACAAAAAATGTTCACCATTTAATACTGGTAATCCAGGATGTCTGTATAAATTTTTTATTAATATAAAATATGACAAATCTAGAACTTTTAATGAATTAGACTGCATAAAAAACTAAAAATAGAGCTATATAAGTCTATTGTATATAAATCAACAAAAAATACAATTTTCAAAAATATGGAGGAATAAGTCTATAGTCGATAAAAATGTATAAAATCTTAAAAAAAAAAACAAATCAAATACTTATCTAAAAGATTGAGCTATATAGGAAAATAAATCTAAATATTCAATAATGATTTAAAAAAGCAATTGTGTTTCATATGAGGATGATTGAAGTAAAAAAAAAAATTTTGCTTCTTAGTATTTTATAAGTTTGGGAGTCAAAGCAAGAATGGAAGACAGAAGATGAGAGTCGAAAATGAATTAGCTATCAGATTTAGAAAATCGTTGAATTGTCGAATATAAGGGATTTGTGGAATGTGATGGGAGTAATTACAGATTCAATTAGAGTTAGGCAAGAGGCGGATACAAGAAATTTAATCCACAGGGTCTCGTCTCTACAAAAAAAGTGGGACGATATCCCATGAATTGAACTATGAGTGATCTAATAAATTAATAGACTCTCTATCCCAAAATCATCTTCTTATGTCAAAATGATACGAAGTTTGAGAAAAATAAAATTATGTGGTTGAAGCTTATGGGGATGAATGAGAGAATAATATGAACCACATAATTCATTCTTTATAGGAATGGGAAAATCATTTTGAGACGTTCAAAAAGGAAAGTGATAAGTTGAATTTGAGATGACTTGAGTATTTTATAAGAATATTGTAATCTATTTTTCGTATATCTTGAAAGTGCCTTATAATAATATCATGAATACTTGTATAAAAATATACGTAGTATCTCTTCACATATGTTATTAATCAATCATTTTATCTCGGAACAGCTTCCAAAGATTAAAAATCTATAGTTTCTTCACATTCTTTCACTCAATAGAGTTTCATATTCTAGTTCTCTAATGGAATATTTGATTTGATGAGGTAGGATCATTTGAATTCTGTTGGAGTCTATCCCACATCGGAACTTGTAGTGAAAATAAATCGATATATAAGCTCTTGAGTTGAACTAACTAATCGATTGGATTCAATCTTTTAATGTGGTTCGACCCAAGTGTCTTATTGCCCAATCCAGTTGTTCATACCCAATCCTAAATTCTATCATGGTATCGGAGCCAGTTTTATCCCACCTCGTTTGTCAAGGTGTCCGTCTAAACGTTCATTCCTAGCGGCCCGTTTGTCTTTAGCCCAGTTGTCCGTATGGAGGTTGTACCCAACGACCTGTGGCCTGTTTAACACGATTGCTCGTCTGGAAGTCCATACCCAGCGGCTCGTGGTCCTTTAGGTGTTGGCGCTCATAAAAAAAAGTCAAGGGAATGGGAGTTCATTTGCAAGTGGTCAACCGGTTAGATTCAAAATGGCCCGATTGTCCACTTGAGGGGGAGTGTTGGAGTCTATCCCACATCGGAACTTGTAGCTTGAATTGAACTAACTAATCGATTGGATTCAATCTTTTAATGTGGTTCGACCCAAGTGTCTTATTGCCCAATCCAGTTGTTCATACCCAATCCTAAATTCTATCAAATTCAAACTGGAACTGATTCCCACTAGAAGGGGGTGTATTCAATCAGGATTATGAAAGATTTCGATAGATTGTTTAAATTCTTTAGATTATGCAAAATCTATGGACTGTTTTAAGTCCATGGAGATTTTGATAGATTTTAATATGTTTTATCAGCAGGATTTTATAGGATTATGTCTGATTGTTTATACTATATAGATTATTTATACATGTTCATCAAATCAGCACTATGTTCCCAACCCACGCAGACAAGCCAAGCAGCTCCTAGGCAATGTTTTCCACAAAAACAGCAGCAGGTTCACAGGGCAATAGGTCACTCACAAAACAAACAATAGTTCCAATCACTTACAAAATCAGTTCACCATCACAAAACAAAGAGTGGAACCCACAAACCAGAACTAACATGGGTTCCATGTCTCCATTCAATCCTCAAAATCAAAAGCAAAAACAGATTGTATGGTGCCAAACTTAAAGCAAAAAACCAGCACGCAATTGAGTATCACAATGAAACCCAAACACAAAGGATTGTTGTTGAATAAAAGCATCAACAAACACCACAAAATAAAACCCAAGATTCCATAAATATTTGGCCAGAAACATACCTAATCCTGATGAAAATCGTATTCCAAAGTTTCGCGTTGAACAGTAAGAACGCTACCCAAAATTCCTTGAATCGACTGAATAATCAAATGGGATTGAAATCCAACCTCATAACATGAAATAGGATTACCAATCGCTCAAAATCTCAGACAATTAGCCATAAAAAAAAGTATGGATCGTGCTGAATCAGTGAGACAAAATCGCGATGAACTGTGTCAGGCACGGCGTTGACCTTCAAATTCTTCAAATCAGCTCCAAAATCAGAGATAAAAACCTCTAATATAGATCCCCGCTGTAGGCAAACCAAGAGTTCCAAAAATCTGAAGCAACCAGCTCAAAACCATGGAGTAATCGGCAGAAACAGATTTCGACCAGAGGAGAGGATGAAGAAGAAGGCCGATGAAGAAGAAGACTGCCGAAGACGGCCTAAGATTTTATAAAATCCGGGTGATATTTGGGAATCTATTTATATTTATACCAATGCTTAAAAATATATCACAATCTACATTTTTTAAAATCTTTAAAAATCTAGTCCCTATCAACTTTTTGAATACTATCATATTTAGAAGGACTTTATAAAATCTAAATTGAATACATTTAGATTTTAAATGACTTTTTAAAATCTAAATTGAATATCTACAAATTTTCAAAATCCAAAAAAATCCATCAGAATCCTGATTGAATACACCCCCTAAATGTCTTTAAATATTGATTTCTTTTAAAAATAACTTTCAACCTAAATTAAAAAATCAACCAATTTTTAAAATTAACAGTTTAATGTTTGGTTAACAATGGATTTGATGAAGTGTATTCGTGTATCTTTGTGAATAGATAGAATGTTTACACAGAAGGCTTTCATAAAAAAACTAATCTGCAGAAAATCCACAAACAACAAATTTCTCGAATCGTAATTGCGTAAAATAATTAAACGAATACGGAGTTTTTACACTGAGAAAACAAATTCCAAACAAAAAACCATAGGGATCGGGGAACGGAGGATTTACCTTTTAAAACAGCGGCAAGCAGGTGGAGCAGCGTTCTGGCTCCGGCGTTCAGTGGTCGGCGGCGTCCGGTGGTAGCGGGAGTGCACCCGGCGTGCAGTCTACAGGCACCACTTGCAATACAAAACTTAGGGTTTTAAGAGATGTTTGGGGATTTCCATTTTAATGCTGAAAACTTTTCTTATTTTTATTTTCTTTTTAAATAGTGACACGTTTTGATCATAAACTATGAGTACAATATATTTAATTATTCCATTTAATATCAATTCAATATGATTGAGCTCATTTCAGGATATAATTTTTATATATTAAATTTTTTGTAATGTAATAGGATGACTCGGGGTACTCTAAAAGTAAATGACCAATATATGTAAAAAAGAATATTTGAAGGGGGTGTAATTGAAGGGGGTGGGGGTGTGTTCGGATCGGGGCGGGATGAGAGTTTATCGGGAGTTAGGAGGTAGGAACCGTCAATTTTACGAACGGAGCACTAAAGCGCCCTCAGGTCATTCCATGACATTGGGTTCCAACATAGTGGGAACCCCACCCTTTTAGAATTTAGACTTTTTGAAAAGTTCACAACCTATTAGGCTATTACCAAATAATAATGAAAGTGTAAATTGTGAATCACTTTAAAAGAAAAAAAGAAATTGGCTTATATATACCATCAATATACTCTTTCCGTTTGTGAAAACTCTTCTTGTTTTGATTTTTTAATCAAACAATAACACTCTTTGACTATAAATTGTGAGAAAAATATATTAAATTATAATATAAATTTAATAAAATTAGATTCATCTTAGGATATTGTTTTAATACATCAAATTTTTTTGACATTTATTTATTTAGATTATGTTTAATTTATGATCAGTGTCACTATTTGACTAAAAAAGTCAAAACAAGAAAAATTTTCATGGACGAAGGGGTTATTATTTTCCGTGTCAATGAATAGTGATTAACTAAGAAAAGGCAGACCGGCGAAAAAAGTGTCCCTTCCGACCAGGTTCCAAAGAACGGTCTCTTCACCGGGGTGTAATATTGTAATCCAGACAAAGATTCCAACTTCCAAGACTAGAACCCGTGATCACACAATCACAACTCAACCGTCACGCCAGGGCTCACCTCCACATACGATTAATTAAAAATATTTGGAAAAAAAATCTCATTTTCAATATATCATAATTGGCATATCAAGTAGCATATAGAATGGTGGTGGTATGGAGATCCCAATTCCTAGAGAGACCATACATCCATTGTACAATTCAACAACAAATAAAGAGAACACCCATTGCAATTCAACAACGAATAAATGTTTGGATATACTAAGGTGTGGGTTTTGGTTCACAAAGTCTTGCTTTAGTCTTACTCTGTATTACAACCGTGCAAGGCAGGGCAGCAGGGTGTTGTCCCACTTTAATTACCTCATTAAACAGTGTTTGAAAAGTGACCATATTCTCTGATGTTAAAGTCTCACCTTCCCCCCCCCGCCCCCTCCCAAACCCCTCTTTACTTGCACCAAACTCTACTCAATAATCCCCTTTTCTCTCTTCTTCCTTTTTGTTTTTCTACAGTTGTACATCCTAACCACCACACTCAACACACCAAGAAAACTTTAACTTTTGTTCTTAAAGTTTTTTTTTTAAAAAAAAAACAACCAAAGACTCATTCTTTTCTTCTTCTGTTAGATTCTCTAATCACGAGATTTCGTTTGTCTTAGTCAAATTGACCGGGGTTAGTGCTTGACGCGAGGACCGGAGCTTGTTAGAACTTTTATTAGAACATAAAACCCCTGTCGTGTTTCGTACTCTCTGGGTTTTGGCTGAGTTGGTTTCTTGATATCATCAGGGGAAAAAAAACAAGAAAAAGGTTAAAACTTTGGTGGAATGGTTTCTTCATCTTCAAGATTGAGGGAGTTGAGGGCAGATAGAGACAATGATGGGTTTCACCAAGAGGACACTCATCAAGGTTCTTCCCCAATTGAAGTCTACACAAGAAATAAAAGTAGTAATGCAGAGATAATAGAAGTAGAGGGAGAAGAAGAAGAAGAAGAGAGGAACCAGAAGAATAGGAAAGAAAGGGAAGAGGGGTCAGATCAACAGCAGTTGGGGTCTATAATGGCTGTACTGGTCACTGTCTTTAGGAAGTCTTTGGTGTCTTGTAGCAGCAGCATTGATCAACAGCTCTCTTCTTCGCCGCTGCGGGGTATAGAGATTAGCTGGCCAAGCAATGTCCGGCATGTCTCCCACGTCACCTTCGATAGATTCAATGGCTTTCTTGGCCTCCCTGTTGAGTTTGAACCTGATGTCCCAAGAAAACCCCCCAGTGCCAGGTTTTTTTTTAAAAATGTCTTTTCACTCTAGTACAATATAAAAAGGTTTTTTGTTTTGTTTACACCAAGGTAGAACCTTTTACATTTACTTGTTGACTTAGCTCAATGTAGCATATTTAACCATAACATGTGGGATATGAAAATGAAATTACTTCGAAAACGTCTCAAAGTTACAGAATTGAAAAGGGTGAAATAATAAAACACTTCTTTGAATCAGCTTTTTCTTTGCTGGTGAAAACGATGCTTATAAAAGGGCGTTGAGGACTTGAGGGAATGAATATGCTTTAATTTACAAATGGACTGTTTTGTCCAGCATATGATCAATGTTGGTAAGAAAAAAACCAGGACAAGTACTTATCAAGAATCTTAGACATCATACTATTTGTGATTTGCAAGGCAGAGGATTCAAAAGCTTCTGTTTTTCCAAAATACCCAGAACACATGCCGTTTAAGTGTTTAAATAAACTTATGGTAAACAAGAACAAATCACAACCCATACAAAAGACCATCTATATATATGCATTCTTTAAAAATTCTCATTTTTAATATTTTGACTACAAAATTTACCATATTCTTATATATGTTAGTGCAAGAGTGTTTGGTGTTTCGACGGAGTGCATGCAACTTTCTTTTGACAGCAGAGGGAATTGCGTGCCTACAATACTGCTGATGATGCAAGGACGCTTATATGCGCAGGGTGGCTTGCAGGTCCAAACTCAAACAATTGCTTCGTTACGGTTTTACAAATCGGTTGCTTTCAAATGATATAATCTACCCTTCGTTTTTTGACTTGTAGGCCGAGGGCATTTTCAGAATCAATGCCGAAAATGGGGAAGAAGAGTTTGTTAGGGAGCAGTTGAACAATGGTATTGTACCACCCGATATCGATGTTCATTGCTTAGCAGGTCTCATTAAGGTATGTTGTTAGAATATAAAAACCTTTCTTGGGCCACAACCACAAGCTTGAGCTTTTGGTTGAATTGGTTCCTTTTAACATATTAGGTCTCACACTATTCAATCTCAAAAGGCTGAAACTTGTAGTTGTAGGCCCAGGAAAGTGTTTATACTCTAATATAAAGAGCAAGTTTCACGTGTGGTACCAAATGATCTGATGGTTGCCTGGAAACTGGCTCAGGTACCATACGCGAAAGGTTTTTTCAAAACCCGGATATTTTTGTGATAGAAAATGAAATTCAGGTATCAAAGTGAAAAATAACATACTGTTGGAGTCTATCCCACACCGGAACTTGTAGTGAAAATAAATCGGTATATAAGCTCTTGAGTTGAACTAACTAATCGATTGGATTCGATCTTTTAATGTGGTTCAGCCCAAGTGTCTTATTGCCCAATCCAGTTTTAGCCCACCTCGTTTGTCAAGGTGTCCGTCTAGACGTTCATTCCTAGCGGCCCGTTAGTCTTTAGCCCAGTTGTCCGTATGGAGGTTGTACCCAACGGCCTGTGGCCTGTTTAACACGATTGTTCGTCTAGAAGTCCATACCCAGCGGCTCGTGGTCCTTTAGGTGTTGGCGCTCAAAAAAAAAAGTCAAGGGAATGGGAGTTCATTTGCAAGTGGTCAACCGGTTAGATTCAAAATGGCCCGGTTGTCCACTTGAGGGGGAGTGTTGGAGTCTATCCCACACCGGAACTTGTAGTGAAAATAAATCGGTATATAAGCTCTTGAGTTGAACTAAGTAATCGATTGGATTCAATCTTTTAATGTGGTTCAGCCCAAGTGTCTTATTGCCCAATCCAGTTGTCCATACCCATCCTAAATTCTATCACATACTTTACGTGAAATTTACTTTGAATACAAGCTGAGTGCAAAATTGATTTCTACAGGCTTGGTTTAGAGAACTCCCAAGGGGAGTGCTGGACTCCCTCTCGCCGGAGGAAGTTATGAGCTCACAATCAGAGGAAGAATGTGTTCGTCTCATGAGGCTCCTCCCGCCCACGGAAGCTTCTCTCTTGGACTGGGCCATAAACCTCATGGCCGATGTCGCGGAATCTAAAGAACATAACAAAATGAATGCACGCAATGTGGCCTTGGTTTTCGCTCCAAACATGACTCAGATGGCAGACCCATTGACCGCGCTGATGTACGCGGTTCAAGTCATGAATTTTCTCAAGGTTCTCGTTGAGAGGACCCTGAGAACCCGCGAAGAAACTTTGGTAGAGCCCAACGATGCGCCAGAACCCCACCCGTTTGATGAGAACGGGCATCCGGGCAACGCCCAGCATCCATCAACTCAAATGGGAGATGACAATGGTCAAGACGAAGAGCAAAGTCCAGGTGAAGAATCAAAGCAGCCTGATGAAGCTAGCATCATAACAAGCATTGTGAGGATTCGACAACCAACAACCCGAAAAACGAAAAACGGGCAACCCAATTGCAGTTCAAATCATGGTAAGAAGGCTACCAAAAGACTTTGTGAGAGACAATCTATGAGAAATGGAGGGAAGAACAAGGGGGGTAGAATCATTGGACGCCCAAATTATCACACAGAAAGGGCAGAAATTTGGCTGTGAAATGATCTCATCATATATTGTGGGTTGGGTTCTTCAAAGGACTTGTATTTGCTGTACAAAAAGGGAAAAAATATGGTGAATAACTCAAAAATTACACTAATTTTCTTCAATGTTCCCATAAAGAAAAAATTTACATGAACAAGAAAATTAAGGTGGAGTTCCATGACTTTGTCCTGGAATACACGTTAATTTTTGGCGTGCTTAGTGCATGTGTAAATTTTCTATATTGTGATTATTCATTTCCAGAGTTTTTACATTAATTTCGTGATTCTTGTGTCATCGATTATCATATGTGATTAGATTTTCTTAAATTGTACAAAAAATTTATTATCGTTAATAATAAGTTTGGAGGTGCGGAGTGCACGCTCGATATTAAAAACTCCATAGCGGAGGTCCGGGGGCGGCAACCCTGGTACCGAGGTCCAAGGGGGCGGGAGTTGAAATGATGAGAGAAGTTTATTTTGAACATAATTGTTTTATAAAAATCATTTAGATTTTTGTAAACGGGGTTCGAAGTAACTTATCTCCAACATCCCTTACGAAAGTGCCCGATACATTCAAATGTTGTACGAAATGTTGTATTGTTTCATCAAGACATCAACCTACATGTCCATTCAAATTTTTGCATAGAAATAGATGGCACAAGGGTATGTTTTGATAGGACAAAACTTTCATAGTATATACTTACGTCTTATTCGATTAGAATATTTTTGATATACTCAAAATAACATTAATATGAAAGTGTTTTATAGGTGATTCGTTAAGTTTATCAAGTCGTTTTACACGTTCTTCGTATACCGATTTTCCTAACGTTGTTACACAGTGTTACTACCCCTCCCGAATTCCAAAAATTTCTCCCAAATAATTCTGTATCCATTTGCATTATTCAATACTTTTTCTAGAAATATGTAGGCCTGGCCAAAAATACCTACCGGCTTAGAACTGGACCAATATGGTAACAACTAACAAGTGGTCCTCTTTAAATACATCTCAAACCGAATTGTCCCGTTTTTAAATTGGTACGAGACGAGTTCTTGAAAAATGAGGACCGAAATTTTTGAATCGAACCATTACCACTAAAATGTTAATTTTAAGGAAATCTACTATGTTCATAGTTAAACATAGAAAAACTATCAAAATATGAGTTTCACGTTTTAAACCTCGAAATAGGACTATTGTCATGTGACAATTTGACACTCTATATTGGTATTTCATAGTGTTTTTGGCATTATATGTTGACATTAAACTTATATTCTAGAGATAAAAATATGAAACTCTTGTTTTGACATTTTTTCTATATTTTATTTCTAGTTTAGTCATTTTCTCTTAAAATTATCAATTAATTATATACGTTCATTTGCTATTTTTTATTCACTCCATTTCATAAAATTGTTTATACTTTCCTTTTTGGATGTTCCAAAAAAAATCATCACTCGTGTTCTTTTTTATTTTGGTAATAAATACTCGGTATCCGACTAACAATAACTCTCCCTTCTCTAAACAAAATGTTACTCTATTCGTACAACAATAAACTTGTCATTTTGAAGAACGTGCAAAATCTCATCCTTTTCAAATGTACTTGATTTACAAATTGGTATGCCATAAAAAGTATATTGTTCAAAATTACATAAAAAATTCTACAAAACAAGATGTGATAAGAATATTTTATTTTACCAATGATTGATGAAATTATGCAAACAAACATAAATTTTCGATAATCTATAATAATATCTGAGAAGTTTATTGTTGAACGAAAGAAGTATATAACAATACACTTTTTACTTTTCAATAACTTTCTCAAATTCTGTGAGCTCAAAATTTCAACGACATCTTTAACTTTAGAAATCTCCCTAATAGGACTAAAAAAGTATGAAGCTATAAAAATATGAGTCTCAAGTCTTTTAAAACTGAAATAGGAGTATAATGACAATGTGATCTAAGAATACGTGTTGACAGTGTTAGAGCATCTCCAAAGGGGCTTGGTATATGTGGCTTGCTATTGCTTTTCTTTAGCTAATGAATAGTGGTATAACAAGTCACTTTTTGCTCCCTTTTCCAACCATGACTTGTTATATTACACTCCCTCCTTCCAATAATGTTTTACTCATTTTTTATCAACCTGCAAATCTCCATGATTTTAAAATGATTTTATTTATAAATTGTTAAATAAAATACAAAATAAAAAAATTATATTTAAAAAACTACATCAAAAAATTTACAAAACAAGAGCTGACAAAATTTTTTTTAATAAAATAATCAATGAAAATACACAAACAAATAAGAGTTATCGAGAAGCCGTAATAGTAAATGGGTAATTCTTTTTTGGAGGGAGGGAGTAACTAACAAATATATTTTGTTCCAATAACCATTATAATACACCAAATACAATAATTCTTGAATTGTATTTATTCCTGTTAAAAAAAAGTAATAAATATGGAGTATGTGTCAAAGAACTGATT